AGGGTGGGCGGCAGCCGCGGACCCCCTCAGGCTCTCCTCAGCTCTCCTTCCGCGCACCAACGCGCTCGTACCCGGCTAAACACTTCCAGTACAAGCAAAGAAACGCCAACAACGCGGCAGATGGCCCCGTTTGGGTACTCCTCCCCCCCGCCATCCTTCAGCGACAGTTGAGGTCTGGAGTGAAGAGTCCCTAGTCTGGAGACCAGAAGGGCAGACTTTGAAAGAGCTTGGCTGGTTTAACCTAACAGAACACAGCCTAGAAGAGGGGTTTTGCTTCATAAATGAATCGGTGGAGTAAATGCAAAAGGACACAGCTGGTATGAGAAGGAAAGAATAGAAAATGTCGGCAAGTAGGCTCTCCATGAGAGAGCCGCCATGAAAACGGGAGCTACTGAATGGAGTCTTGGCTGTCCTGGTGCATATTCGGTCAATGCACAACCACGGAAAGTGCGATGCACCCTTACGGCAGAGACTTAGTAGCCTTGCTCAGAGAGTAATTAATAAAGCTAATGTGCTACATTGGCTGACCATAGACTAATTGGTGTTTGGAAAAGGGCTAGACACTACTGTGACTTATATATGTACAGACTACCTGATTGTGTTACAGATTCATTGAATCACAGAATAAGCGGGGTGGGAAGGGACCTCAGGGAGTCTGTAGTCCAACCTCCTGCTCAAAGCAAGCTCAGCCATGAACTCAGACATCCAAGGATGGAGACTGCACAGCCTCCCTGGGCAGCTGCTCTTCCACCTGACTGTCCTCAGGGAGGAAGCTTTTCCCCTTCAACCCAGTCCGAGCCTTTCTCATTCCATTTTGTGCCTGGTGTCTCTTAAACCCCCCTCCATGAGGACCATTTTCTTTATAAACCCTCTGTAGGTACCAGGAAGGTGGAGGCCTCCTTTGAGGTTCCTGCAAACCCTGCTCTTCTCCCAATTAAGCAAGCTCAGTTTCCTCAGTCCCTCCTCACAGAGCACGGGATCCAACCTGCAGACATCCTGGCGGTCCACTCTCCAAGTTTATCCATGTCCTTCATTCAGGTATTGGGGAGCCTGGGACTGGACTACAGTATCTAAACCCAGTCCAGCTTCTGCAGAGTAGAAGGGGATAATCAGTTCTCTCCTGCTGGCCATGCTCCTGTTAATGCAGCTTTCTGGAATAAGGAAAGTGAATGTTGTTGACATCCCTGCACCCCAGCAATGTAATACTGCTAAATAGTATGGCCTTTGATTCTGGTTTTCCATCATCCTTACATCTTTATCTGATAAAGTACAGCAAGTGCAACATTCTTTTATCACTAATCAGAACATGCAAGTAGAGACAATCTGTACTAGTTATTGAATACAATACATAGAAATGTGACATAAGTGGGAATGAAACAGTGCTACCTTAAGCTCCAACTGCGCATCACTATATTTTGAATATCCGGTATTGTCATTGTCTGAGCTCTTGATGAAGTACAGTTATTTCCTTATATGATTAATATCATACTAAATACTGAACTTGTATATTAACACCATATATGAACAAGAATGACTCAGAAATTAACACCAAATACCTGAAGCATACACTTAAATTGACCTCAGGCAGTTTTGCCCAATGTTATGTGCTAATGTCATTTAGATGTTCAACATCAGCTAATCATTTCCACATGATCAGTGAAGCTATATGCAAGCACTCATGGGAACCTGCAGGCATTGAGTGTTATCATTTCTCCTAGCGGCATAATGACACACACCACATTTTGGTAACCACTTCAGAGTGAATATGTATATATTATATATACACGCTTTTTTTTTTTTTAATCTATTAAATGTAACTTTAGTGGCAATACATACAGGTTTGTGGGCTGACTATCTGCTGTAATTTACCTGCAGTGTGGGTTCAAAGTAGTATCTGGTGGGGGATGATTGACTACAGTAAGAAGTGGGCATAAGTGAAAGATCAAGACAAGAAGAGAACCTCAGTGGAATACTGACACTGAGGAAACCATTGCCCTTGTTGAAAGATACAGACACTAGTTAAGCCTAATTAACCTACTGCAGTGACATCTGCGACAGTGATCACAAATGCAATTCCAGAGCTCTGCCTCATTTACATCCCTAACAAGTAAATAAGTCTTTCCTGTTATTTGGAAGCTAGCACTACCAAAACTATCATTTCTTCTACAAATGGTCTTATATGACAGGTTTTGGGGCTGTATCATTTATAGAGTCCTTGTTTGTTAAAAATGAGTTTTGAATAGTCCATTATCTTGCACTCCAATTTTTACCTTGCTTTTGCTTGAAGGAACTGCATAGCCACAAAGGACATCTAAGTCAAGAAATACCTTTGCTCAAGATATGCATCTAAAATAAGATTTTAAAAAAAAAATCTGTAACATTTATATTATTTGTATTGAGTTTTATAATGCTTTCTGGTATCAACATTGATTAATATTAGAACATAAAAAACATATCAGAAAATATATGCATTTACCGTACTAAACCAAGAGCTTTTAATTAGTATCTACATCAATACATGTACAATAAATGTTTAAGTCGCATCAATACTATTCACTTGGAGGAAGTGTTATAAATATCACAAAGCCTCAGAGGCTAGAAGCAGACGATATATTTTATTAATAGACTAAAAGATAACTCAGCTGAATTGCATGATTCAGTGTCTGCTCTACATACCGTAGCTCTTTTTCTGTGAGCAAGGAAACACTTCATAACAATCTTAGAATTATGAAAATAGTCTACTGCATGCGCCAAAAGTAATTTCTGGCTTAACTCCAGGGACTGCAGTGAAGTTGAGTAATTTTAAAATTATGAGATCGAATCCAGTTCTGCTACACAGTTAAAAAAATGTCTGCTAAGTACATCCAGAAATTTTATGTCACCTGAAGGAGCAATCTTCACACACAGGAGGACATAATTAAACAATACAAAAGCAATAAATATTTTAAAAGCAACAAAGTCCAGTGTTTTGTCTTGGTTTAGGGTAAAATGAATACTTATTCCATTATATAGATGTCATTAGCTCAGTTTTAAACTATCATTATAAAGCAATTATTCAAATCAAGCATATTTTGAAGTCTTACTATCATATAATAACAAGCTATGGTAAATGCAGATTCTTTTTATTATTTTTCACACATTTTTCTTTACTGGTACTTGTTTTTTCTGGCACATAACATTGGACTGGTTTAGCGTGAAAAACATTATATCTTAATTCAGAAAGGCTGGTGCTGTAATACAGATAAATACTGTTTACAAATTAAGAAATTGTGATTTACTGTTGTCAGTGGAAGTTAAGCAGGGTGTTCTTCAGTTGTGTTCTGACTTTTCCTGTGACACATCACTGTTTTGGAGAGCAAAGAACACCTGGTAGGGTTGGGGCCGTTACCTGAGCTTTATTTACAGCACAGCTTTAAATAGCCACGCCACATGAAGGCAGTGATCATTCTGAAGGCAATCACAGACACTGCTCCTGTGGGTTTGTACTAGACACAAACATATTTGGAGGACAGACTTCACCACTTAAAGCAGCATGAGAAGTGTCATGATTATAGCACTTGCTTACCCACATTACATTTAGCTCCCACTGTACTCACTTTTTAGTTTAATTTAATTTCAGACATTCAAATCAATCTCTTTGGTGACCAAGATAGAGCACTTAGAACAGATTGCTGCTGGAAGCACTGATCTGGGTACAGGTTGTAGCCCAGACCTGATGCGGTAACAGGAGCAGTGATCCATCTAAAGCCAAACCCATGGAATATTTCAAAGTTTTTCTGATGCCACTACTCTAAGGAAAAAAGAGCTACAGGTCAGAAATAGAAGTGCCCAGCAGGGAAACGGTGCTGCAGAAAACAAATAGGCTGAGTAGATGAACACAGGTCACATTAGTACCATCTCCAGCAATGGTAGATACACTGGTGCTCAGGAGGATTTAAAAATCCCAGAGACCTGGGCTTCACCTGTCCATGGAATCACCTCTCCATAAAGGAAGTTCCTATTAACTCCTGCGATTTTGTGACTGCAATCTTGTGTTCTTCAGGAGAGCAAACAGCTTTTGAATTATTTGTTTTATCCTGGTGTAACTATGTTATTTTTAAAAACACTGATTTTTCTTGAATCTTTGAGGTTTTGTACCTGCTTGAGCAACATCCAACTGCTTTAAAGATTTATGAATTTCTCCTAAAATAAGACTCCAGTTCTTTAAACTTGCAGAAGCTTTATATCAATGACAGCACAGGATTGTTATGCTACCCACAATGTTTACCCTTATTTGAAAGGCTCCTCTGCTATTTTGAGAATCTTTTGATTAAAGATTCTAAATATATTTAGAAATCTATACTTCTGACACTTTTGACTTTGACTCTTTCTGATCAAGAAGGTTATACTCTATATAGAAGACTTCTCCAAGTCACCAGTTTCAGGATGCAAATACAGCTCCTGAATAGAGTTGGGCTTTTTTGCAGGGAAGAATTGCATTTGAAGCAAACCTCCTAAAATCACTGGGTAACAACCTCTTCCTTTGTTTTAGGAGTTACCACCTCAGGACAGCAAGGCAGAGCAAGGACCATACAGAGAGCAGGCCAGGGGTCTCACCAGCCAGGGCCCATCCTGCAGTACCTGAGCAAGGAGATCAGGCATCCACAGCAGCACAGCAGGTCTGAGGGCACACCGAGAACACAACCCAGGGTCCAGTCCAGCAAGAACAGTCAGACACATCAACAACAAAAAAGATAGGTCTGAGGTCTAGCTAGGAAGTCAACCTGCAGGTCAGTATCCACAACAAGGTGCAGGCAGAACTACAACATAATAACCACCCAAGAGACAGGTAGAGCTACAACAGGGCCCAAACAAGGACTGAGGGCTCAGGGCTGAGCTTAAATGGGTCCCCTGGGCAGGGTGTGGGTGAGGACCCAGGTGAGGCTGGTCAGGGCTGTTACAGCCTGTTGGTGCACTCAGCATATAAACTCCCACAACTGCCAGAGAGGTCCAGTTATGTGAAGACCTGCTTGTACTAGAGGCTACTTAAAGTACATCTGCTAATCTATAGACTTTAATTGTTTATGAAGGCTGTTGATTTATTCTTCTGACCAAGAATAAGTCAGCTTAGCTTTTCTTTAAGGTATTGTATAGTAGTTAGACCTAAATCTTTGTATTTATCATATTTCCAACAGATAATTTATCTGGTATATCACTCTATTTTTTCCTAGTTCTTCAACTCTACTTTTCTGTCTAAATTTTAATACACAAGACCTTCCAGCTAAGCATGGTAATCTTTTCTGTCAATCTGAAACATTTGCTTATAAGAAATCTCTTGAATTTGTTGCTTAGCCTTGAAAAAAGGGAGCATCTTGGTATAACTTGATACCAACCAAATGCTAATTCACTCCCTTTAAGTGCTGAAAACCTTTCCCCTTCTCTTTCTTTTAACAGAGAGCTGATGAATGCAGGACCCAAAGAATTGTCTTGTGTGATATACTGTAGGCTGTTGTGGTCTACTATAGAGAGACTTCCAGAATTATTTTAGAGCAGCCTGAGGAAGTGTTCTCAAGGGGGGGAATTCCTAGGTCAAGGCCAAATGTCTAGACCTTCTCCCAAAGATGTCTTCATATTAACTTTATTCTGGTTATACAGCTTCTTTCAGAGCCAACAACTACTTGACATTTGGGAGTTTAGTAGGGAAGTTTTTGTTAGGAATATGAAACAGATAATGGAGTCAGAACTATCCTTGTAGTTCTTCTTACTGGAAAACTCTGTATATAAATACTTTTTATGGATGTTTCAGGACAGAAAAAAAGCAAGAACATTCCTCTTCTAGGCATTCCATTTTATGCTTTTTATGCTTTACTGCCTTTTTGTCCCCCCTAGGATCATGCTACAGGATAGTGGTTGACATTTTGGTGTACTTAGCCATGCATACCACTTGTGATGTCTGTATTCACACAGGTATGTATTTGATGAATACTATTTTTTTTATGTATTTGTCCTGAACGAGGGACAGCTGTTATTTTCACAAGATGCAACAAGATTTCAGGGGCTCAGCATCATGCTGCATGCATGATCTTACAAATTCTTTTTCTTACCACGTGAATAAATGCTCGGTTGTGGGAAGACACTGTGTGTTGGGGTTGTCTTACACAATGCTTTGTGAGGAGGAAACTGATCTGCTGAGGGAGGTTGCTTGGAACTTGCTTTATGGTTTAGTCTCCTGGAATGGGTTGTTAAGGCAAAGCTGTTCACTGGAGAGCACATGCTGGCGTTGAACGGCCTGTTATACAAAAGAGTGGTGTGTGTGTGCTGCTCTGATCGTCTGTGCCACAGGACCGTTCTTAAATGTAAACACAGATGTGTACATTCCTCCTCTGCGGGACTGTGAGCATCTGTTGCTCCTATCAGAAGCAGAGCTAGTTCTAAACTACCGGCTGAACTGCTGTAAAAGACCCTGATAAGGTTTGAGCTACAGCAGGAGGAACCTAAATTCAGAGTTGGAATTTCAACGTCTAAACGATGTTTGGTTTTGTTCATGCTCTTTAAAATAATACATTTGACGGATGCAACGTTAGCAAAACAGTAGGTTTCCGCTGGCCGGGCGCTCCCCCACCGCCCCAGCAGGGTCTCTGGGAGGTGGGGGTGGGAGGAGAGCTGCCGGGGGAGGATTGCAACAAGCTCCGCTTTGCCGGAGCGGCGGTGGCGGCCACGTCCCTCCTCCGGACACCCACCGCCGGTGCGGGAC